GACAATAGTACAATGAAATAATGAAGGAGACATTAAGTTCGGAAACCAATGCTCTGCATGTTCATAACTTTTAGTCAAAAAGACAAGTCAATAATGCGGTAACATCAGACTACTAGGTAGATTCCTTAACAAACCAGTGTTCTTCACTGCCGCTATAAATCTGTTGCATAATTGGATGCTGAGGTTGAATGTGGTATTACATGTGTGAAGCCAGATGATCACCATGGGCATATCTGTATAAAACAGGAGTAGCTCCACCGTAGATGAGGTGAGGGCATAATAACACAGGCTAACACAACACCTGAGATCCTGACACATTTCACTACAAACTCTCTGCAAATTATGTCCTCCTTAAGATAACTTATGCTAGACTTCAGCAGCTCCTGGTTAGTATTGGCTGCTATTGAACCTGGTTGCAAATAAGCCACGCTGACTTAAAAAAACAAAACAGAAAGGCAAATCCACACGGCTATTTGCAGCAGGAGGGGGGAACTCTTCTTTCTTTCTTACAGAACTTAATTGCCAATACTGGTAAGGAAATCACTATTGTCCCACCTCTTAAAAAAATTGGTTTAGGCCACATGACAGAGAATTGTGATTTGCCAAAACTCATCGTATAAAGAAAGTAATGCAAGAACTGGAAACTTTGTGCTGGATATAACAGAACTGAATAATAGAACTGAAATACTTGAAAAAAACCCTTTTTTAAGCCTTCTCTTTCTCAAACAGATCAGGTCACTTCATAGTCTGCTCTTCAGAGTAAAAGATGTGATATCAAAAGACAATAATAATAATTTAAAAAAGAAGTAAAATTTTAGATGCAATAAATATCTCATTTAAACCTGGAATAAAATAAAATTAAATTACCTGTAGGAACCTGTCAGCTCTTCAAATCTAGGTGTAGTGGACAGCAATATTACAACTTTTTATTAAGCTGAGGACGATTTAGTAGAAGATAAAAGTGTAGTGCCCTGCCATCTGGGGGAAAGAAAAAAAAAAATCTCAGGAATACACTCAGGATTTACAGCTCTAGGACAACAGAAGTCGATTGTGTTTCAAAAACAATATGACAGAAACAAGGATCATACAATATGTTGCATTTTCAAACCAGTTACAACCTTGTTAGCTAATGCACAGAGCAAAGCTGACATCCTCTCCAAAAAATGCCATCTGCCCAGAAGTGGGAAGCATCTATTAAGAAATACAAGTTTTAAAAGTCTTGAGTTGGTTCATATTTCCTTATATTACAAAATAAGACTTCTAAAATAACAGCATTAGTACTAAGTGATCAACCAGAAAATATCTTCGCAAGATGTAAAAATATTGTTGAGATTTTCTTCAAGCACTGAAAATGTACCTAATCTTTTGTGCTCAGTAAGTTGTGCTAGGAAAAAATAACAACAATAAACCACAAAAAACCTCAAATCACAGTTCTGAAGAACTGCACTACCTTTTATCTGCCAATCCAACAACTCAAGGAGCTGAACTCATCTAACTGACATGCCAGGAAGATCAAAGTCTAGCTTGCCCTGAAAGAATTATGTTTGTAGACATATCTTACATAATGTTCTCCATTTTAAGCAAAGGCAATTTGGAACACGTGAAGATTTAAGGGCCCATTTTGAAACCATATTGACAGTTCCCACTAAGATAAAATTAACAGTGGATACATGAATAATTCAGATTAAAGACTGATAAATGAAACCATTTGGTGCATTTCCTTGATGTCAGGGAAAACATCTAGACTGATGGGGATAAGTTTTGCCACTTTACTACTACTTAAACTAGTGTTAACTATTATTTATTTGTATTTTGGAAGATTGTAGAAACACCAGAAGTGGCTTGGGGCTACACTGATGCAAACTCACCAACACATACACACCCACAAACCCCCATAAAGATACTGTGAAAGTGCTAAATGGTGTCTAAGAAGAACTTGATGTAGGTGAACACAAGGTAATAGCAAAAGACTAAAGATCGACCCCCCCCCCCCGCCATTTTCAAAATACAGATTATGACTGCTCAGCTCCAGGTAGTCAAAAAAGTCTAACAGCTGTGACACCTTGGTTTGGTTTGCTTTTCAAATTTGGTGGCTTACTGTTGCCCAATAGTGGATATAAATAGATCAACAAAAGCCCCAAAGCAAACCTTTTGCTTGGACAATGGTCTTAAGATATACAAGGAAAATAGCTGTTTGGCCAGTATAAGCTGCATTTCCACTAGGGGACTCCGAGAGTTAACTATGCCATGCCTTCATCTGAAGAACAGGCAAAGCCCCGGTCTCCTTTACACGGGAGATGCCTTTGCTTCAATCACAGCTGATTCACAGTTTGAAATCAAAAGTTCAAAGTATCATCAGAAAAAAAAGAAGAAACAAACCACCAAAAAACAACTTTATAAAGCCAAGGGCATTAACCATTTCACAGGCTTGCTCTTGTGAGATTGTGGTTAATTCAACAACACTGCTACAACATATTCCGTTGTTCTCCTCTCTCCCCTCTAGTCTGGCTACTCACAAGTCTAATATTGTTCATCTTTTTTATTTTATTTCCTCTTTATTGTCTCGGCCGCGGTTTCCCTGCCTTAACAGTTTTGAATGAAACCTCTTAAGGTTGGACGCTATATTTGCACTGATGGGAGATTACGCTCCGGTGGAAGCGAGTTTTCCCAGGAAGCAATTCCGACAGCTTCGGGTGCGGCAGCCAGGCCAGGACGCCGGGTCGGGGGGTATTTGTTTTGGGGAAAGACCTTTCTTTTTGTGTTGAGAGAGACAGAAAGCGAGCGCTGTGCCTGCAGACGACCACAGCAAAGACATCCCCCCCTCCCTCCTCCTCCTCCCGCAGGCCACCCCTCGGGACTCCCCGGCCTCCGCTCCGCCCCGCGCCCCAGCACCGCCCCGGCCCAGCCCTGAGGCGGCCCCACGCCCCCTGCCGCCCGCCCGGCTTGGGGCACCGCTGGTAGAGGAGCCCCACGGGGGAAACCGCCGCTGCCACCCAAACTAGCCCCGGCGGGGCCGCATCGGGAAACCACAGGCCTGCGGGCAGCCGGGACGGAGTCACTCAGTACCTCTCTAGAGAGCTCCGAGGCGGGTGGAGGCGCAAGCTCGCTGCCCCCCCCCCCCCTCTCCCCACCCCCCCAGCGCGGGGAAG